AGTGCTGTGACTGGATCCTTGAAATGGCTGAGTTCCCACAGTTGACATTTTCCTGTGAATTTATTTGTTCAGGATGAATTGTTGGTTCCTGGAATCGTAGGCCTGCCCAAGCTTTGCAGTGTGTCTATTACCAAACCCAGAGAGATGTGTCCTGTGGGTTCCTATAGGACAGGGCGTGTGACCTCTCCCTGTCTGGTACTCTTCTGGTTTTATTCATTGCTGTTACCCTTCAGAGGATCACTTCTCTAAAACTGACCTCTTGGGGACTTTAAGCTCAATGTTTTAAAATGTTCTAGTTCAAGATCTTTTAGAGATGTTACCCAAGTTTGGAGGTAGAAAGGAAATGAAAGGGAAGCTTTATAAAGGCCTGCCTTCTGAGCAGGACTCCAGAAAGTTCCAGTTCTTTCAGGTTCACACAGGAAGAAGGCTGGGAGGGGTAGTGCTTCCCAGGAGAGAGGTGGCCACTCTGATCCTTCAGCACCAAGAGCAGAGAAATGGAGCCAAGACAAGAACAGGTGTTCCTCATAGGTAAGGCTGTTCTGGAGTTGACCATTGGCAGACTTGAACCTGAGTCCCTTTGATGCTCATACCTAGTGAGAACCAAACCAATGTTCACATCTTTCCTGCCCTTAGGATTCTAAGCCTCTCTTGATTTTGTTACCAACTAAGAACGCTAATTTCTTCTGAAACTGAATTTGTTACCTGCCAGTCAGGCATATGCATATTTGAGGCTCTAGGCTGGATATGCCAAACTGCCACTTCCTAGGATGTAATCAATTCAAACAATGCCTGAGCAAGAACTCAGTTTCCCTCTCATACAATGCAATGGCTATCAGCTATACTCAGCCTTTGTTAAAAGAACAGAGGTGGTGCAGATCACAAAGCCAATTTTGTGTCTTCCCTAAACAGAAGCCATGTTAATTCTTTGCTCTAACTGCTGCAGCTGTTATACTATTAGGGTGGTCTCTGAAATAGACTGGCCTTAAGCTTGTTGATCACTTGGCTATCAGGTACCATCCACAAGTAAAACTCTGAGCAGCATCTTAGGAAGCTCTCTTAATTTAATGCTAAAAAATACATTTAAATATAAATTCTTGGGGGCTGAAAAGATGGCTCAGCAGTTAACAGTCCTTACTGCTCTTCCAGAGGAGCCAAGTTCGGTTCCCAGCACCCACGTCAAGCGCTCATAACTTCCTGTAACTCCCTCTTTAGGGGATCTGATACCATCTTCTGGTCTCTATGGGTACATACACATGTGACATACATTCACACAGACACACACATACACATACATAAAAATAAAGATAGGAGCAAGAGAAATGGTTCAGGGCTTAAGGGCACTGGCTGCTTTTACAGAGGACCTGGATTCAGTTTCCAGTACCCAACAGAGTGGTTAACAACAGTCTGTTAACTCCAGTTCCAGGGGAATCTGATGCCCTCTGCTGGCCTCCACAGGCACTGCACATATGTGGTGCACTTAACATACATGTAGGCAAAACACTCGTACACATAAAATAAATAAAAATTTAAAAATAATAAATAAATCTTCAAAAATAAATCTAAATTCTAGACTGATACATTATTCTACATGTCTGCAATGAAACTGACATTGTCTTCCTTAGAAAGTCAGTGTCCAAAGAACATGTGGGTTTGTTCCCTGTTGTGTATCTCAATCCTGTGTTTGATATATGAGCTCAAAAGAGGACAGTTACCTTGAAATTTGTTTGCAACCTGAACAGTGATGGCAGTGGAGGGGGAGTGGATCAGCTGATGCCCTCCTGCCTGAGGCAGCCCTCCACAGACATACAATGAATGTGGAATTTGGGTTTGAGTATGTTACTTGGCTCTTGCTGAACTTGGCACCTATAGGCCTTGATTGGCATTTAGATTCTTTCCAGTGGGTGAGACTTCAAATCCAGAAAGCTAGGACATTATTTCTGTTACTGTGAATCCTTTATCCATTGCGCTCTCTCTCACAGTACTTGTGGTGACTTGGTCTGTCTCGTTTAGTAGTCCTCATCATCCCCACACTACTCCACATAGTTTTCACTCTGATCAGATTAGGAATGTTTGCTCAGGGCTTTGCTATTGCTGTGCTAGAGTCACTGAGTTCATGAACATGTAACTTTTAAAAGAATCAACCAATGTGTGAATCTTAATGTTTTCCCTTCTTGAAGTACATAGAAGAGTGTCGCAGTTCCAGATGGAACAGAACTACAGTATCAACATTAACTGTCTGCCTCACTTTAGAAAATATCATCTGTGTGATCGCTGATTATCCAAAAAGCCTCAAAATAAGCCTTAAAATAAGAGAAAGAATCAGATTAGAGGATGATTACTTAAGTTTAAAAAAATAATTTGACATCCATTCCTTTCAACTGCTTTGAGAGTAATCACATGAATTCTGCTTTGGTTCACTGACACTTGAATGTTCCTTTCTTGATCTGTTTTCCCCATATAACCCCAGAGAAAGAAGGATGTCATCGATGCTCTCTCGGGATGTTAAAGTGTAAACAATTTTTAGAAACATGGTGACATCAGTGTTTTACCTCTTGGGAGCACCAGGCACAGTGAGGTCCCGTGAGCAAGCAGTCGGAGCAGGTCTCTGCACCGCCCCGGGCACAGCTACCTAAAGGCAAACCCAGCAAGACACAGGGATTAAGACTCTTTCATTAATTTCATTTATGAGACTTACATCTCTTCTATTATTTGAGCAAAACAGTATCAAGGTATATTTTAGTCTTCAAAGATTAATCCTCAGAAGGTTAGAAATTTACATAAAAGTTTAACGGTTTACACTCATCACAGTGGAAATAGATGTTTCTTATAAACCAAAAATTAACTTATTTTCCCTTAAAACACGACAATGTCTAACTGCTCAGAAGTACAGGATCATCCTATTTATTTTCCTTATTCAACACCTGCAACTTTAATTTCAAAAAATTATTTGTAGTCATTAAAAATGCTTCTCTTACAAATGCAGTATTTCTGTTTCTGAAATAAATCCTCTCTCTCTCTCTCTCTCTCTCTCTCTCTCTCTCTCTCTCTCTCTCTCTCTACTCTCTCTCTCTCACTCTCAAGATTATTACTCCCAAGTGGAAGACCTGGTTGTACAATAAAATAGAAAAGCTTCCAAAGTGTCTGTCACAGTGGCACTAAGGAAGCCTATTGTGCAAGAAGGCTGTCTAATTCTCCTCATTAAAATGTCTGTGCAAGCTTTATATTTATTTACCTTACGCCTAGAGCATTCACTGGGGGAACAGCCCAGCAGCTGCCTATAGTTTGTTAAAGTGTTAGTGGGTGGCAAGAGAGCCATCAACCAGATCAAATGAAAAACGACTTCAGGTCTGCTTTCTGAACCAAATGACAGTTTGTCAAGCATACCAAGAAAGCAATATATTGGAGAACTTCGGACTTACCTTGTACGTGATCATTCCTTCCTAGAAATAGAAAGAACAGGCAGAGCAACTCAATCCCCATTCGTTTCAGTTCTCGCTGTGCAGACAGATTAAAAATGAATTACCTCCAGTATTACAAGACCAAAGCTGGATGTCGTGAAAATCTTTCTTTCTTGCAGTGTAAAATTTTAAAGCTACTTACACTGCTTTGAAAAGTAACTTGAGCTGTAAATTAAAAAGCTTTCATTAAGATCGAAATGAAAACAGAGGCTACCTGGACAGGTAAAGCAGAAAAGCTGTGTTTAAAAGCAACTTCAACATGATTACTTCCTTGTTCTCCTTATAAGGAAGGCAGGTGTACAATCACCAAGAAGGTGGGGAGAGTCATGCAGTAGAATTTTTTTCCTGTCAATTCTACTAGTCTTCCTGCATTCTAGAGAGAGCTAATATCGTTAGCAAAATAGTGATCAATGAATCTTCAAAAGACCGATTGAAATGGGATGGTTTCTTTAATAATTTCTACTTAAGGCAGTAAAGCCATGAAAGAAAAAAAAAAGTAAAACACAAGGATTTAAGTTAAATGCAAAGAAGTTTAAAAAAAAAATAAGCGAACTAAAAATACCTGAGATTTTTGTATCCCATGTTAGAGCCTCTGCAGAGAATGGAAATGAACTAAAAAATATAAACATTATTTCACAGTCAAATTACAAATTAGGCTAGGGAAAGCAGAACACTGTTAGCTTATTTTTCAAGTTAGACAAGATATATTTTTCCAAAGACACATAATTCTTATTTTAAAAGTTTATTGGCAATATAGTATATGAAGATCAATTAGATCAAAATAGAGTCTTAAAACAACAGCAGCAACAATAAAAACAGAAACAATAGTGGCTAAAACTCTGGCTCTTTCTTTCTAAAATACTCTTCCAGGGTGGGGGCCACTCAGCATTTGCCTGGCACACTGAGGAGCCTGTGCACCCTTTATGTGCACCCAAGATTGCAAAGGAAACAAATAAAACAAAACTAAAAAAACAAGATTTAAAAAAGGAAAGGCAAAATAGGTATCTAAGGCATGTTCTGGCTTCTTACTTGTGGTTTGGCACAGAGGAGTAATTTATTTGTTAATGAAGGAGTAACACTTCAAAATACGTACAATCTATGGATAAATTTGTGGGATTGTTTGTATTCCCCCAACACGTTCAGGGGGCACTTGGGATTTATAGAAACTGTGATCAGATAAGAATCAAATACTCACTTTGTCACGATAAACTATCTGACCTCAGATAGGCTCCTTTGTGTCTGGGCTTATGTCTAAGGAGATTATCTTTTGAAGGTATATTTCTAGGCAAACGTGAGAAATCTGTAAAGAGAAGAAAACAAATTATAGACTGCTTAGATTTTTTTCCAGATGCTTATGTTCAATTTTGAACTCAGTCATATACAAAACCCTGGGTGAAAACAGTGAGATTTCTACAACAGTAAGAATCCAGATTAGAGAGCTGAAAGATGAGCCTTCAGCAGAAAAACAGTGCACATGGAATCAGTGACTGAGCTCAAGAATGATGGAACCATGAATTTCAATGTCCCGACACCACCTCCATTTTAAACTCAGCTAGCAAGTATTTTCTGAACATCTATTTTGTATCAAATACATTCTTTTAAAATAACTTATTGGGCTGGAGAGATGGCTCAGTGGTTAAGAACACTAGCTGCTCTTGAGAAGGACCTGGGTTCAATTCCCAACACCCACATGGTGGGTAACAGCTGTTAGTAACTCTAGTTCCAGGGGATCCAACGCCCTCTTCTGAGGTCCACATGCATTGCAAGACACAGGTGCACTCACACATATGCAGGCAATACACTCATGCACATAAAATAAAAATAACAAAATTTAAAATAAAATAACTTTTCTATTTTATTTTATTTCATTATGTGTATGAGTGTTTTGCTTGTATATATGTTAGTGCACCATGTGTGCAATGCCCCTGGAGACCAGAAGAGGGCATCAGATCCCCTGGAACTGGAGTTAAAGATGGGTGCTAGCCTCCATGTGGGTTTTGGAGCCTGAATCTGGGTCCTCTGCAAGAGCTTAATCTGGGTCCTCTTAACCACTGAGCTATTTCTCCAGCCTATATATTTTTGTTTTTAATAGACTCATAACAATTGTATATATTATTCAGATATAGTGTGACATTTCAATAAAAGTATATAATGTGATCAGGTCAGGGTAATTGGCATATTTGCTAGCAATTTAAAAATATTCAATAAGTTATTGTCAGCCATAATTCTGTTTTTTGGAAAATTAGCTGTTATTCCTCCTAACAAGCTGCACCCCAATACCCGTTAGCTATCCTTTCTCTGGCTCTACTCTTCTGTACTCTAATGCACTGAGCCCAACAACTACCTTCCACATATAAGTGAGCACGTGTAGTGTGTGTCTTTCCATGACTGACTTAATTCCTTTAATAAAATAATCTCCAGCTGGCGCTGGAGAAACAGCCTAGTGATTAAGAGCTCTGGCTGCTCTTGTAGAGGAACTAGATTCAGTTCCCAGCACCCACATGGCAACTAACACCCATCTATAACTCCAGTTCCAAGGGATCTGATGCCCTCCTCTGGCCTCCATGGGCATTGCACAAATGTGGTACACTTACATATGTGCAGGCAAAGCACTCATAAAATAATAAATAAAAATTAAAAAATATCCAGTCTATTCATATTGCAATTAAGGATGGACTTTCGTTTTTTTGTTTTTTTTTTAATGGCAGAATAATAGCGTGTGTGTGTGTGTGTGTGTGTGTGTGTGTGTGTAATTTTTCACATTTTCTTTTTCCATTTACTCACTGAGGAGACCTAGGTTCTTTCCATACTTTGGCTAATGTGAACAGGGCAGTAATAAACATGCAAGTGCAGATGTCTCTTCAATGTATGGATTTTATTTCCTTTGGGTATATACCCAGAGAAGAGACTTCTGGGTCATATGATAGTGTTTTGTTTGGTTTAATTTTCCATTTGTTTGATGCTTACATATTCTTTTTAAAATTTATTCATGTACTGTGTGTGTGTGCATGCGCACTAGCTTGTACATGTGACAGCACACACATGAGGTCAGAGGAAAACTTTTTTGGAGTGTGTTCTCCCATTCCACCTTGTTGAAGCATGGTCTCTCTCACTGTTTCTGTTGCTGCACTGGGTACTCCAGGCTCTCTGCCCTGGGAGCTTCCAGACCATTCCTGTCTCTGCTTCCCATCTAACCATAGGAGTGCTTCAATTACAGAGGTACACCATCACATCCTGCTTTTTATTTGAGTTCGAAACTCAGAGGGTCAGGCTTGAATGGCTGGTGCTTTTATCAGCTCAGCCATCTCCCAGGCCCAATAGCTGCGTTTTTTGAGGAAACTCTGTACTGTTTTCCATAATGCAGATATTATTTTTGAAGTAGAGACTGTGCTAGGAAAAAAAATAGTATCAAGTTTTTTATTCATACAGTATATATTTTAGGCTGGGGGGCAGTGAGGGAGGGGGTATGAAATCAGGTAGGAATCTGGGCTGTGAAAAGTAATAGGACTGGGTAGAAGGAAAGGAGCATAAAGGAATACGTTCTCTTAGGGTAGGTGAAAAGAGTTTTCCTGAACAATTACCATCTGACAGATGACTTGGGAAATATAGCAAAGTGCCCAGGCCAGAGACAGCCCTATAAAAGATGTTTTCAAGGGAAAGGAGGAAGAGGGAAAGTGGTCATGTCTAGAGGCAGTAGTCAGGCTATCTGTACTCTTGACCTTGAATTTTATTCTGAACAGTTTGGAATGTCATTGGAAGGTTAGAATCAGAGGAATATTATTTAATTTCCTTTTTAAAAAGAAGCCCTCTGGGGTTGGGGATTTTGCTCAGTGGTAGAGTGCTTGCCTAGCAAGCGCAAGGCCCTAGGTTCAGTCCTCAGCTCCAGACAAAAAAAAAAAAAGAATCCCTCTCATCTCCATGAAGTTGGAATGAATGGCACCAGGCTGAAAGGTGTATCAAGCAATAGACCATGGTATTATTGGGGACAAAGATAATGGTAATTGGGATCAGAATGTTGATGATATATGAGGAGAGGAGCAGTGAGATTCAGGATGCATTTAGAAATGGATTGCTCAAGAACTGGATGTGGATATGAAAAGAAGAGAAGCTTTTGGCCTGAGTTGCTGCTGCTGCTCTTGACTGAGTGTTTAGAGTCAGGAGATGGCAGCTTTCATGTGGAGGATGAGTATCAGGAACATGGTAAGTTTGAGATCCCAAAAGATAGCTGGACAAAGATGCTACATAGGCAGTTGGATATTAAAGTCTGGAAATTGGGGCAATGTCAAGGTACAAACTATGAATTCGGAACTACCAGCATGGACCACATGGGCTGAAAGCTGTAGGGCCGAAGCTATTCAAATACAGGAGTCTCCATGAGATTCCCCAAGGAAGTGTTTATAGATGGGAAAGATTCCTGAGAAGTGAGGCCTGGGCCTGACAATGTCTAGCAGTCAGAGGATCGGCACTGAGTGAAAGAAGCTACTCTCTAAGGCACACTCCATCTGACAACAAGGAGTCTGTCTTTACTGGAAGACAATTCGCTGAGTGTCTCTCATGTTTCTGGTTTCTCTAGCTGCCTTTGTTCTGGGCTACAAGGATGCTTATAAAGTGAACAGCCTTCAAAAAGAGAAATAGTGTATCTCTTTAAGGCCAATGGAAAAATGCTTACAGCTTCGAAAGCTAGAGATTGCCTCTCTTCTGATTAAGGGGCAGATGTGCTTACACCTTGGTAAATTAGACAGCGTCAGCCTCTGGGAGAGAGAGCAGGCATGCTTACCGGCCATTGTGAAAGACTGTTGCTCCCTAAGCTCAAGGCTTTCTGTGTGGAGTCCAGCCTACTCCATGTGTAGGTGTCTCCTCTTCCCTTTTGTGTCCTCTTGTGGGAATTGGGATTGGGAGATGAGTGAAAGAAAGTTCTGGTGCCCTGGCCATTGGTATTTCTGTGAACAATAAAGTCCTCTATCTCTGACATCAGTATCTTGGGTCTTAATCAGTATCCATGAATCCGTGACAAGTGAATGTTTTAGCTTGCCAGTTCACTGAAACCTCAGAGGCCCCTCAGTTCTTCACAGTTCTTGAAATTTCCTACCCCAAAACACACCACTTCAGACTGAATATATAACTTTCAAACATTGCTTTGGAAGAAAAGACCTTGCATCCATAAGACTACACCCAAGTGCCATGGCCTGCACAGTGCTGCCTGGTTCTAGAGGATTCCCAGGCTCCAGCGTTGTCTGT